GGAAAGATTCCCAATGAATATCCATTCTCATTTCTCGCCCATCTGCTCCTTCATATAAAGGAAACTGGCATATCTCGGGGAATACAATGCTCTTTAAATGGTTCATCTTTCAATGTCCACAAAGACAGAACACCCAAACACACCCAGCAAGCCCATACAAACAGTAATACACTTGACACACTTCTCTCTACTCAGTGAAGTGACCTATTCAGGCAGAGCAGCAGGAGGCAGAGAGGCTGAAGAGCTGGGAAGCTAATGAATGCACAGGTTTGGACCAATGAAAGTGCTGGTGCTATCTGCGTGTTGCTTTTCTTTTGCTCACAAGAGAGACTTAAACCATTAGCCCCTATCCCCTGTACTCGTTCCTCACTTTTACCTCGTTTTTCAGTGTCCCTGTTCCCCGAAACTGGATGTCTGCATGAAAACTAGGCCACTCTTTTGATGGTTCACTGACCAATGCTTGCTGCACCGTAAGAAATACTGAAGAGTTTTCTTGGTCTTTAAATAGATACAAAAACATGAAAATGCCACAGTTAAGATCAACAGAGACACTAGACTGGTGGACAGGAAGAGTAGGAAACACCAGCCAAATCTAATCACTCCGCAGGAAAAGAGCTCCAAGCAAGGCAGCACTGACAAGAAGTGGTCAGAGGTCAGACGGCAGACCTATAAGGGTACCCTCAGAGGTTAAGTGCTGCAGAAGGCGATGATGACATCCGACGGGCTGCTCAAGTCACAGCAGATTGATGGCATTTTGGTATTTAATCTAAAGACAAGGACAAATGTGAGTTTGCAAAGACTTGGGATGGGCCCTGTGTTTCCATGGTGTCTCACTGTGACTTTACTGATATGCCCTGGCGTACGGTAAGATAACATCTGCTTTCCTAAAGCCTTACCAGGATCCTCTGTCTGTGACCTTTGCTTCCAAATGACTGACTCTTTTCTTCTTCAAACATCGGTCAACAACCTAGTCGCAAAACAAAATCCCCCAATCACGACAAGTTATCAACTTTGCAAATAGATAATGGCCCATTTGGCAGGAGACATGCTAAAGTAATTCACAATGCCTAATCTGATAAGTTATCCTGGGAAGAGCTGATGGTATTTTGTGGGGAAGAATTTATCTTCAAGTTCCCATTAAGAATGTCATTTGGTGCCAACGTCCAAATCTCCTTGAAATGTTGATTGTTTCTTGGGCCTCTTCAATCATTTGCACATGAAAAGGTCCATGGAAAAGGGACTGCTGTAGAGACCATTGACAGATTAGCAATGGCCATTTCAGCCTGTACCGTCAACTAGTTCTCTAAGCAGCTCGCTTGTTTTACGCTCTGTTTTTCAATTGTGGCACTGTGGTAGAGATACACTGCTGAAGCCCATTGAATATTGTTTGGCTTTCAACGGTATGCAGGAACAATGAATATAGTGCGGTGGAGAGCAACGATGCCTACCTGAACCTGCATGTCTCAGCAGGGGCGAGTGTGAGTGGCTAATTCATTGCTTTACACCGACATCAACAACCCTGCATATAGAAACACAACAAAACTCCATATGCAAATACGTGCATTGTGAATACAAGCATTCATTTAGGGTTTTTACTACCATAAACGTAAAATCGGCAGACTAACTGACACCAATCATAAACACTACGATGTCAAAACAACAACAAATCTGTTGTCGTGATGAACTCAACTGTACATTACATCCACAAGTAATGAATATGTGAAATAGACAGAAAACATGCTACGTATTCCTCGACACCCAAAGGCACTCAATCAATCTCCCTGGCCCATTTTCTGCTCATGCACCTCCATTTTTCCGGCAATTCTCTACTGACTTGCAGAGGACACAGCGCAGCAATATCATACCCTCCCCGATCTTTTCCATTGTGCTTTCTATCTGTAGAATAATGCAGAACACAGTAGATTGATCTCCCCTTTGCTCATGATTTGAATCCAACGTGCTTTACTGGAAAGGCCATGTTTTCTGATACTAAAACAGGCTGTTTTGAAGAATTTGGCCTCTTCCTGTTCTGTGCACTGCTGTGTCATCATCCCTTTTTGAACACTGTTTTTTATCTTGGAAAATGAACACGTAATATTTCCAAAGAAAAGGGAAAAGAAAAACACAAGAAGGAATAACAGCAACCTATGATTGACTGTGTTTAGAAATGGTGCTCTGGGTCTTGTGTTCTGATGTTGCTCTCTATAAACATGCTGCTGTATGGAGAACATCTCCCGTTCACATAGCAGTTAAAAGATGTCAGAGAGAAAAAAATGCTTTGACATTTTTGTAATAAAGAACTTCCTGAGTGGAGCAAAAGTGGTTCAAAAAGCATGTTTGATTATTTAGAGCACAGACTCAAATCCCAGTGTGACCTTTCATCTTCTCGCTGCCCTCTCTCTTCTGTAAGATGAGGCTGTATTGTGGGCAGTATGTGAGTGTGTGTGAGTGACACTTGGTCTCCATTTGTCTAGTACATAAAAGGTATTGACCCTAGAGTCTGAATGCAAGCACAGAAATCTTTTCATTTCCCCTCTTTCCATTTCCCAGCAGTTCAAAGTGTCTCTACAGTATTTCTGTTTCCATTTTGTCCATGATGATCCTGCCAATACACCCACCCTCTCAAACATTTCACGTAGAGCAACGCAACCTCTCTCCCTGGTCATTTCATTCTGATAGCTAAACACAGTAATCTTGTCTACAGTACAACACACACACACACACACACACACACACACACACACACACACACAGAGTATGCTGCCCACACATGGTCTTATCTTTCAAAAGCAACAGAGAAGCGGGAAGCAGTGAGGTCAGGTCAGAAACCCAATTACTGTACGACAAATCGGCCACACAGAATCTTCCCGTGGCTCAGCACTGAATACTGAGGTGGGTCTTGGAGACACTCACCTCCTGTCTCTTTTGTAGCAGGTCTTCAAAGCTATTTTCTTCATCTCACTTTCCCTCTCTACACTGACAACCTCTCTCCTTTCTTCAGTGTTCTTCTCTACAGCCCTTCAACAACCACACGGCCAGCATCTCTAATGCCTTCCGCCCACCATTTCCACATGCAGCTCTTTCAGTGGTTAGATCACACGTTGCTTTTAGAAGATTAAACCAAATGTAATCCAAAACTAAAGCCCAGAGTGCACATAAAAAGCTAACTGGAAAAAAAAAACGATTGAGATCAAACCAAATAAAGAAGCACGCTAAAATACAAAAGCTCTTTCGCAGAAGACAAAAATGGCACAAGCACTTTCCTTGCCCTTTCCCTCACACCAGCAGAAGATGTGATTTACTGCTTTTCTCTCATTCTGCTTTCAGGAGAACAGACAGATACATCAACCCTCAATCTAACCGTAGGTATAGCTCTCAGACCACACAATTCTTGCAACAATAACAATGACAGTGACTGTGGTGAGAACATGAAAGAATGGATGTAACCAGCTATTTTTCTATGAGATGAAAGAGAGAAATGAAAGAGAGACTGGTATTGGTCCTGATTTCAAAACTAAACACACGGACAGCCACGTTACACTCGCAGTTTATTCTTCCATGCAAACTCAGTCAAAACCCCAGAAATGTAACAATGAGGGAAAACCATGTGCCAAATCATGGGACGGAGAAAATAAGTGAGCAGCTTGGAACAATGTCATTTTTCCGTGCAAGCCCCGCTGCTGGTATCTTATCTGCTCAATCCTCTCATCGTCATTTAAATCTCCCCCCTACTCCATCCGATCCCAGCCGTGGCCCTATTTAAATCTCTCCCTCCTCCCAGTCCACCACATTTCTAATGCTAATTATTTAAACCTCTCCGTGCGCTATCCCTCCCATCCACCAGCTAGTTATTCAAATCTCTCCCTAAAAGCCCGGCCCTGTTAAAAGGTGCTTGACTGAAGTGTTGATCCGGGCTGTTATTTCCAGCTCTGTTTTCTTGGCCTTCTCATATCCTCTTCTTTCAATATACAATTACACAAACTCTGCTTCACATATCCTTTTTGAAATGAAGAGGTTTATTTGCCATGATAATGGATTGCAGTATCAAATTAGATGAAACACAGCAAAGACAGGGTAAGCAGAAGATGTGGGCAAAGTACACAAAATGTGTGTATATTTAGGATGTTAGACTTTATCAGTTATATACATAATATGTGTATACATTGAGAGAAGAAGATAGCTGCATGGGAATGTGACCCCAGTGTGTCTGTGGTGCCCTGTGCAGGTCACTGTCCCTAGTGTTAAGTGAGTGAGTAGGAATGATGAGACGGTTTGGGAGGTCAGAGGGGGATCATTTTTCCAGATCAGGTGCCAGCACATCAGCGTGGGAAAGAGGACATTAATCTCTTTCTCCTCTTACATGCTAGACATCATTTACTCATCTCTAAGTCTTTACTTCCAGCAGTCAGAGCTTTGTAATGTGCTCCGGTTGTCCATTCGCACTCGCTCTCATTCAGATAGAGGGATCTCGCTGTTGGTCCTGTGGAGAAGCCACCTACACATGGAGCATCAGGATCACAGCGCAGTAAAACACCAGAGCTGCTCACGGCACTAAACAGGAGTCCCACTCAGCATCACTACTTATTACAGTTACATAAATGCTGGTTTCCAACAACAGCTCCCCACACAAACTGCACACTCCCATACTGTGTGCACACACCAAAGCAAAGCACAGCTGCAAGTGAAATGTGTTCACTGCACACGTGTGTGTAGAGTTCTTGATCATAACGTTGTTTGATTTTTCTTTCTTGTAAAATGTATTACATGCAACAATTCAAGCACATTTTAGCAGTGTCTACTCATCAAGAAAAAATTACAATTTTAAAGTGAATTTATCACAGGGCGAAATCTATCATTAAATAATACAAAATGCATTTTATTTTTTACAATCAGATCAATTCAACACATTTTTTGTTATACAACACAATTTGCTAAAGATAAATCCCATTCTCATCAACATAGCAAGAAAACAAAGTGGACACCGTAGGGGGTGTGCTCACCTTGGTACTCCTGTCCAGGGGTGTAGGCGATGGGGTTCCCCGTAATTTGAAGGGTGAGTAGCACCTCTCCCCCACCTTCTGTCATCCCGGTTCCCTCCAGCTCCCCGTGGTGGGTGCACAGGAAGAAGAAGGGGTTGAAACGTGGGTAGAAGCTTGCGGGGGGTGCCCCGAAATCCATGCTGCTGCTCCCCAAGACTAGGGCCAGCAGGGCACAGCCTAAGGCACCCCCGAGAGAGGCCCGCGCCACGGCCATCTGCCCTCACCAAGCGGGGGGCTGAGGCAGGGACAGTGGGTGAGGAGTTGAGGAGAGTGATGAGTGGGAGCGAGGAAGGCACAGGTAGAGTTCCAGAGAAGGACAGCTTTTGGAGTCCACAATTGAGTCGAAAGTCCAAAAGTGCGTGCGTGAGAGTGTTTGTATGCGCTGTATTTGTGCGTGTGAGTGTGTGGGCTTGGCCGTCAGGAAAACTGTAGAGCTCTGTTCTTCTGCCTCCTCTCCCTGTCCTACCTTCACTCTCAGGGAGTTCAGAGCTTCGCCTGTGCTGTCCTGCTCCGGCGCTTAAATACCTCACCCCCTCCCTCTGTTTCCCTCTCTCCTCCCACCCTCCCTCCCTCCCTCCCTCTCTCTGTCTCTCTTTCGCTCTAACACCAGCTCCACGCGTGCTGTATGCGCTCTATGAAACGGCCTCCCTCCTCTCTCTCATCCAGCTCTTCTCTCCTCCCTCTTCTCTGCCAGTCTATCACTCTGCTTTTTCCCCCTAATCTCTTCCTCCCCCCTCTAACCCCTTCTCTTACCTCTCACTAAAACACTGTGTTACTCCACATTGCACTCTTGTATCCCTCTCCTGAGACCTTGTCTTATCTCTATGCATCTGTTAGTTCCTCCATCCCTAACCAGTCTACTGACATATCCCTATCACTCTCTTCTCTTTCCTTTGTCTTTCTGCCCGTCCACCAGACTGTCTCCTCCTCTCCCACCCACTATCACACCTCCTTTCTCCCTTCCTCTTCCGTTCTCTTCACCTCCCTCTTCTTGCCTGTTACTCTCTGCTTCTCTCCCACTTGGTCCCCACCCTCCCCTCTCTCCCTCTTTTTCCAACCCTGTACCTCTCTGTTTCTCCTCTCGTCCTCAGCAGCACTGAGATTTGTTTTTCTTCTTCTCTACTGTTGCTTTTTTCCCCCATCAGAATCTCCTTTTCCACAGGATTCTCCAACTTTTTCTCCCTGTCAGAGCATGCTTCTCTTCTCTTCTCTGGATCAACCCACTACCACTGTGCCGACACCAGCCATAATGCTGCTTTCTCTCCCCCACCAGCCTCCACTCCAGCGCACCAAATGATGGATAAGTATTTAACACCCTGTAAAAACCACACCCCCCATCTCTCCTTTTTTTATCCGGGAATAAATACAAATAACATGAACCGACACCCCACATACTTTACAGCCACACACCCCCTCCATCTCTCTCGCTCATCCATCTCTTGCTCTGTGTGTAAGTGATACACTAGCCCCCCCTTGCTCGAATAATCTCTCAGCAGACAAGGGCTGCTACATAATGTGGTTCTGCAGAGAAAACCACATTAAATAAATTATCACAGTAACTTAAAGAACTTGCTGTTAACACCACTGAGCGTCTCGTCTGGCGTTTCTCTTTATCTGCCTGCTGGGTTTGTGTGGTTAAGTGCCTATTACAGACATAAACACTCCCAAGCTAGCAAGCTGCACACACACACTCACAGCCACTTCACGTCCAAACAGCCTGACTGACCCACAGCAGGAGACACAGCCAGGCCGGAGAGGCCAGATGCTTTCACAGTCCAAACCCTGAATCACACACACACACACACACACACACACACACACACACACACACACACACACACACACACACACACACACACACACACACACACACACACACACACACGACACAGGAGCAAAATTCATGGGTTCCAAATACTGTACTGGTTTCATGTTTCGTTCTGTTTTGGTGTTTGGAAAGATTTATACTTTTCTCCAGTGAAGTCATTCACCTGTCAGACCAGCTGCTGCCCCCAGACGAACTCCAGTCAGCGTGTTTATCCACATAGCAGTCCAGACTCCAAGAATGCTGTGGAAAAAAAAGAGGCAATTATTACGCAACTTTAAAGAGTTTCACAGACTCACAGAGGATGTTGATTTTTATTATTGTGGCCATGCTGATTTATATTCACTTTCAAATTACTGTCAGAACTTTCAGGAAAAAATGTGAGGCCAAACTACACAACCTAGAAATTCTTCAAATACAGTTACTTCAAGTACACTCTGATTGTGATGTAAGTTTTGGTTTAACCCTTTTCTATTCAGGTTAATTCTGTCTTTATTTAGTTCTGAAGCAGAAAAATGCACCTCCTTTCTACAAACCTGCCTGCTCAGTGCACTGTTCATTATATTGTGTGCTTCACTGATGAGATCATGTGTTTTTTGTGGATTTTATAATCCATGGAAATTACAAACAGCAACAACTATTTTCCAAAAACCTTGGAGAACAACACAATGTTTTTCTTCCAATAGAGTCCGTGGTTATTCTGTGACCAGTCTGCTGCTGCTTCTTTCGCCCATGGCACAACATAGCATCAGAGGGCCAAATAAAGTGAAATGAAAAGAGTTACAGCGGCTCCACATGGACCAGGTGTGTTAAATGACTGCTCTATAGCTCTGTGAAAACAGCAACTGAAAAGAAAGTACAGTGAGGAGGACTGAAGGCAGTAACTTTTCAGAAACACTGTGCGTCCTCCCCAGTTGCTCTCAGAGGTCATCAGGGTGGACCGTTCTGCAGAGACTCGAGAGTGGGGTCAGAGTTTATCTCTGTCTTCTTCTGTTGTACACTCAACCAATTCACAGCCACCCTCCAGCTCCTCAATGCCTTAATCAAGCACTTTTAATTAATCTAAATGCATTAACTCACTGGTGAGACTTCTTAAAGAGCTTAAATCTTAACAGTCTCTACTCTGTAAATGTTGCCAAACTGTAGTTACAGCCCTGAGCAGGCATTCAAAATGTATACCTTTTAATTGTTTAAGGTTTGACATTTAAAGTATGTTGTTTTTTATAAAACAAACAACAAGAAATTAAGCCAATGAGTTTAGTGACAAGCTTTTGAAAATCAAATGTGTTCATTACTGAGCCAAAGTAAGGCACCAAATATCCTCTTCCCTAGCTTCCAATGCAAAGCACAACATATCCACAGCCATGATTGTGGATGAGGGGCTCCCCAGCGCCCTGACAAAAAAAAAAAACGTTGACGGTCAACCATATTTAGTAGTTGCTGTCAGATCAATCGTTTAAAAAGCTGCTCTTCCAGAGGGTGAATACAGAGTTGTAAAACAAAATACACTAAAGTCAGCAGACAGGTGATCATACAAATGAAATATTGCAAAGAAAATGCCAATGTATGCATATTCTCATTACATTAATATTGTAATGAGAATATTAGGGGATAATTCATCTAGTTAAGCAGGTGCTTATCTGTAGTCAGATGCTGTTAAACAACTGCAGAACAAGAGGGCGCTACAAATGCCAGTCAATCTTCAAATGGTGAAATAACATTTATTAATGTTGCTGGGTTTCTACGAAAGAAACATGTCACTATACAATAGGATTAAGCTGTTGAAACTTTGCAGTTTGATGCCACAAGAAGGTAGCACCCCCTTCTGTCCTGCCAATGCTTTGCTAAAACGTCTCTGAGACCAACTGTGAAGCTGACCGTTGAGCGGCCCAGACCAAGCAAGGAGGCAGAGGCAGAGCGTCCAAAATAAAACCCGGTTTTTATTACGTCATAAACATATGACACAGCCTCAATCTGCTGCCCACGTGAACACAGTCACCAGCCACCACAAGGATCTCACACACACTACCAGCCCACACAGACAGGGAAACAGAGCCTAAATACCCACACACTAATCAGCAATTAGACATCGGTGGGGGGGGAGGAGAAAAAACAGGGCACCAGGTGAACATAATCAGGAGTAACAGAAAGAACGGGAGGGGGAACACTTTTCAAAATAAAAACACATGAGCAATATACAAGGCCTGAAGCCGTCAGTCCATAGTGACGAAGTTATCTTCGTCACACCAACCAAAAATACTTTTTCTTGGCGTCTAAAAAGTTTTTGCTTTAGCAACTTGAGAAGATTCAGTCCTTCTGGCCTGATGATAACGTTCTGCTGATTAACAAGGTCTCCGGGCTATCGAAGCCTGAAAAGCCTTTTTCATCATCCACTGCTGATGCTCCCCAGCAGGGTCTTCAGTTGCCACCGTGACAGGCACTGAAGACCTTCTGGCCACCGCTATGAGTAGTCTTTGTAGTAATCGAAGCTTTGAACATGGTCTTTTCTGATTCCACGTTCCCAACTTCCATGAAGAAAAAATCCCCCCAGGATGGGCGTCTTATTCTCAGGGCTAAAGTCCAACAGAGGGATGCTCAACAGGGAGCAGAGGGGGAAGTGTTATCAGAGGCAGACCTTTTGTCAGACAAAAGGAGAAACACTAAAAAACTCCTGACTGACGTACCCTCTCTGGCAAGCACCAAAAAGGTTAATTAAGACCTTAAAAAGTGGAAACCAGAAGGTGGTTTTGGCTCAGGAGGTAGAGCAGTCATCCACCAACTGGAGGGTCAGTGGTTTGATCCCCAGCCCTGCAGTCAACAAGTCAAAGTGTCCTTGGGCAAAAAATCCAACCCCAATTTGCTCCTGCAAACTGTGTGTGAGTGTGTGTGAGATGTTAGTCTCCTGTATGGCAGCCTCTGTATACATGTGTGTGAATTCTGATTTGTACATGAGGCGTCATAAATGCAATCCTTTTAACCAGCCCTAAAGTGTTGAAAACTGAACAATGTTCAAGTGTTGTTGGACTAGTTTGGGTATCATGCTGCTTGATTTGCAGAAAAGGATTGTGGTTTTCATTCTGTAAAAAAGGGGACTGCAGGCCTATCAAAAGGAACAAGGTAAACAAGTGCACACAAACAAGCAAACTATAAAGTTCATCAAGTGTAACTTCTTCATTTAGTTTATATAAAACATGTTTATATTCTGGACGAACAACACACAGATAAACGAGTCGATAGCCACTATTTTCTACAGGATAGTTTACATGGCTGGTAGACTGACAGCCCACGCAGCTCATTATTTTTAATTAGCCCCTTGTTTAGACAAAAGCACTGTGTCAAAGCCTCTTCATTCACTTCAATGAGACCACTTACAGTAAATGACACAACTCGGTTTGCAAACTAAAGCAAAAAAGCTCAGGGTTGTCTGGCTAAAGGCTGATCCGGTCTCAGTACACACACATGTTTAGAAATGATGCATAAAGGTAGGATAATTTGTAGCCCAATGTGTTTTATTTCTATGCAGGGGCTTATTTCGACATTGGCCTTTGTCTGTTAATGCCAGTTTTACAGATTAGATTTCTACAGGCCAACAGTTGGACTACTAAAAGCATTTAATGCTACCAAACCTAAACAACCGACAGACATCTGTGCAGGGTCATAAGGTGGACTCAGATATGGGAGAATTCTCAAACGCACACA